ATTTATATATATATATATATATATATATATAAACATTTCTCACTATTAACTACACTCTAAAAAAAATGCTGGTTTGTTTCAACCCAACTTTGGGTCAAATATGGACTAACCCAACCGTTGGGTTACATTTTTACATTAAATTTTTAACCCAAAAGTTGGGTTAGTCCAAATTTGACCCAAAGTTGGGTTGAAATAACCCAGCATTTTTTAGAGTGTAGCATGCATATTACAGCATATTGGCTGTTTATTAGCATTTATAAAGCACATATTAATGCCTTATTCTGCATACAGCAAATTAGGAGTAGTATTTAATAGTAATAGTTAACAGTTTGTTAATAGTGAGAATTGGACCTTAAAATAAAGTGAGGCCAAAAAACATTTAAAAATGTCCTTTTTATTGAGTTTTAAGGGATAAAACTAATGACTGCAAAAGGACTTTAATATATATTTGTTGTTCAGCTGTTGAGCTCAAAAGTCATCCCCATCAATATATTCTGCAAGACATAAATTAATGATATTATTTGCCTGTTTCTGCTCATAGTTTAAACAGCTGAATGATGTCACCTCTGTTTAATGATGTCTAATAAGGGTAGACCCCAAATTTTTAGTCCACTTCAAAAGGAGATATTTTATTTAACAGAAATCACTTTTCAAAAACTACAACGAACGACCCATTTGGACTACAACGCATATTTTCCGGGATTTGTGATATCACAAATATCGACGAATGGGATGAGACCTGGTTTAGCTGCATTAGAGAAGGCAACGAGTGTTATTATCACTATGTCAGAGACACGCTAGCTTTCCCAAGGCAGACGAACATAGAGTGGTTACAATCATCCGGGTTTAAATCGCGCTCAAATTGATTTGATTGTGACGCAATATTTACTCTGAAGCTGGCAGGCGGCTATGGTAAGGGGTATGACATTTCCCGACCAGGCACCGAGTGCTGCCAATCACAACACACACTGGCCCAGCTAACCAATCACAACACACACTGGCCTAGCTAACCAATCACAGAACACACTGGCACAGCTAACCAATCACAGCACATTTCGTATTTCAGAAGGCGGGCCTTCATTTGATACAGGAACTATTTCAGCCATTCATGCCAGACTGGGGAGAGAGGTGTTGTAATAATGTAAAATATGTGAAAAATAATGTTTTTCGAACAACCTAGTATGAGAGCCTGTTCTAGTACACCCCAAAACAAAATCAAGACTTTGTAAAAGAGCATAATAGGACCCCTTTAAAATAGTATAAAAGAAATCATTTAGCAGAATATGTCCAATAAATCAAAGCCTCATTTATTTTTACCTCTTCCTCTGAACCGGGGGGCAAATGGATGGATGGATGAGCAGATTCAGCGCATCCCATCTCAAGACCCCATGTTTACCAAATCAGACAGACGTTGTCTCTTCACTCTGCTTCACTCTAGTCGAAGCCAATGCATTCACAAGATTGTGCAACATGCCACAGTTTGGAAGAAACCAAAATCCAGCACTGCTGAAGAAAAATCGTTTTCTTTATGACTTGTTTTTAACACTCAGCAGCTGTGGTTATCATCACTTCAACATAAAAAACAAACAAACAGGTTATTAAAAAGCATATTGAGCCTCAAGAATTCTGCTGCTTAAAAAGACTGCTTGAAAGAAGAGCATCTGGGATCCAGTCATCGAAGCACCAAGATATTACAGTAATAAAGCTCATTATATCAAGAGTTTCTGTCGAAGAGCCTGTTAAAGGTTATTCTAATCACCACTGCTTGAAACCCACAGCCACAGTTTTGAGGTGCTTCGTTTTCTCCATGATTACTGAGAGACAAATGCACATTTTCTCTTAAGTAACTCCCTCAGCTGTCTGGGGCATTATGAAAGCTCTCCACTTTTGTTGCCACGGTGAAAACCATAATTCCTGCCACTTTTGATATCGGAAGCTTTAAAAACCCTTTCCTGCACTTGAAAGTTGTAAAATTTTCTTTCCGAAACCAATCAGCTGGAATTCTTACAATAATTGCACTTTTTGCAACTCAATTTTCTCCCTCACACAAGTGGATGCATGTTTCTGCCACAGAATTATTTGCATGACTATTGTTTTTACTATTATTTTTTTACCTAAATGCAGACAGCAGATCAATTAAAC